TGAATTTGGTCTTTTATCACAACTAGCTTTCCATCAATCATGACTGAAAGATCATATCCAGGTTTAGGAATTGAACTTGCCAATGGCCCTTCATCTTTGTTAGATGAAGGTTCAGTAGCAGCAGCAGCATTATTATGCGTCTCTGGTGATGGGATAGCATCAGACGTGAATCCCCGAACTGCATCCCTTTCCGATTGTTTAGATGTAGCCTTGCGTTCCCTCCTTGAAGTATTGTTAGAAACGCCTCTTTTTATATCCGCCAAATCATCTGCGTTTGGAGGTGGCCAGGCCGGAGATGGTCGGTGGTGAAATCCATGCGGTGGGATATAATCCAAAGGATTATCTGCAGCAACGCTCGGAAAAGAATGAGTCAAATCAACCCATGGTGAAATAAGAATAGCACCCGCAGGTAAAGGTAGACCATTATCACGCAGAATGACAAGCATACTCAACACCATACCACCACCTGCTGAATCCCCTGCAAAGATAATACTGGATGGTTGCAAATCATCAAGAAGACTGAGATACACTGCTAAGCAATCGTTAAGACCACATGGAAATGGGAATTGAGGTGCCAAACGATATCTAGGTGCTACGACCACGGCCTTCAACTTCCTGGCATGTCTTTGCATCTGATATCTATGTTCATCCGTACTTCCGAAAAAGTAAGCGCCTCCATGGACATACAGCATGACCCTCTTGGGATCTTCTCCCTTCTGATTCCTTTCTTCAAGATCTGCCTTCATCTCGATCGTTTCCGACTTGAGTTCATTCCCTGGTCGCCTCCATTTCCACCATTGATGCCCCCCAATGATCCCAATCCCTCCCTGTTTATCCAATTGAATCGACAAATACTTTTCTGCTTCATGTATATGCTTCTCTGCAATGGTTGTTTCCCTCACGCTAACGTACGGAGGGTGAGGTACCCATTGCGAGGTGAAGGCTTGAATATCTTCGACTGTATGTTGAGATGCATAAAGCAGGAATTTGCGAATCAAGTGAAGACCTTCATCGTAGGAGATATGTGCAGTAGGTTTTTGCTTTTTGCGGGACCGATCTCCGAGATACTGTGAAACGATTTCTTAGAGAGTTAAATATATGTACAGGAAGGGGAAACGTACGTGAGCAACAAATGTTTGGAATACAACAGGAGCAACTGCCGTCCCGACCGAAAGTGTACTAAGACCCATAGTTGCTGGACTTTGCGAGCTTGAAATTTGGTGTTGTTGTTTGTGATATAGTCTCGAATCGAATTAAGTGGTATTTCTTTCGCAAGTCCTCGCACCTTCGATCCCTTCAAACCAAATTGCAGATCAAATCTCCAACTCCTTCCTCACTCTCGACCACACAGAATCTTCTTCCACCAACGAATGAGAGTCCTAATTAGCTGTGTATGTATATTAAAGAACAAGAAGAAGATTCAAGATCTCCCCGTCAACAACCATAAACATAAACCCTTTGTTACCAGTTTTATCTATTCCCTGGGACGTGAACCCCTTTCTTTCACTCTACACGTCTCAAACACAACACGACAAAGTAACGAATAGTGTGTAAGATATACTCGAAAAAGGAGAGGCAATTAATCAATAATTGATGTGCGAATAATACTTGGTACAAATAAAGGATATGAATATGAAATTGAAAACCAAACTGCCACCAAGTGAACCTACCTTATCTTGTTACCTTCTTGGCCAAATTGCATAGCCAGCCGCTGTCGCACGCTCCTTCTTATGTACACGGTACACACTTGGGTAGATGAACGTCATAGGCGGCGTCCTCGGCTCTTTCTTGTCATGGGGATTTTCGTACTCGCACATTGTAGCTGATGAACACGAGTAATTTAGTTCCAGCGTCGTGAATGGTTGTTCAGGTGGAGAGATCAGATCCTTGGTGCATACATAAATTTTAAGGTTTAGCGTAGCACAAATTATGCTGGGGATAAAAAATTGTTAATTTTGCGATTGAAGGTTACCCCGCGATAATAGGATTTGGATTTCTTGTCGCAAACAACCTCGAGGCTATAATATTCAAGAAAAAAACCGTGAAAGAAGAGTCGCAAAAGAACAGAGAATACAGATTGAAAGATAGAGAAAGGAGAAAGAAAGAAAACATTATGGCTTCTTCACAATCAAATGGAGGAAATGGGGTATACTCTCCTGGTATGTTATTTCCTCTCCTTCCTGCTCGATCGCATTCCTCACGTACATACTCCACGTTCATTTACCCCTCGCATATGCATACAAATACGCATATCCATGCTTTGAACGACAAAATACTAAACTCCATTTTCTAGAACTCCGTCTCAAAACCTTTCAACGCAGCATCGTCCTCTCCATCTTCCTTTGGCCCTCTCTCTCCCTCGCCGTAACATCCCTCTGGGGAGGTCCTGAGTCCGCCGATAAACGCGAATATATTGCCGGTACTCTCATTGATCTTCTCTCCGAGGAGGAAAACAAGGATGTAGAAGCCGACTGGATCGAGACAATTCTGCTACAGTTCATGTCTGACGAATTCGAAGTAAATGTCGACGATGGGAGCGCCATGGAAGTCGCCAATGGCATTGTTAAATGTAGAGAAGAATGTAAGAGGGGTGCTTGGGAGGAGGAAAGCAGTTTGTGCAGAAAGTTGGAGAAGGCATGGGAGACGAAGGGGGGAAAGAGTGACAGTTTAGCGCAGTTCCAGCAAGGAGAGGACCAAGGAGAAACGGATTCGGAAGCGAGTGGGGATGATGATGAAGATGGAGATGTGGATATGGATGAGGCGCCACAATTGGTGAGAGTTAAGGAACCAGTTGTGCCTCAGGTGGATGAGGATGGGTTTACTATGGTTACCAAGAAGAGAAGATGAAATTGGCAAGAAAACAAGAAGAAATAGAGAGGAGATGTAGGAGGTGTTGAAGTTCTGCAGATGTTCATGAAATGGCGAGGCTTGACTGGCCGATGGACAGTCTCAATTGGAATAAAGGTGGAACATCCTGAGATTCTCATTTTGTTGAGGATTCTGGAGCTGACGGATCACGATGAAGATGAATTCGCGGAGGTAGCGAGGGATAGCCTTCAGGATCACATACAATTCGGATACATAGGCAAATCTACTCGATGAAGATGGATAGTTCTGTCAAGATCTAGCGTCATCAATTGTGTGGAAGGTTTTCTCAATCTCATTTTAGCTCGAAGGACCTCAATGCCTCAGCACGGAGGACTCACAACGAAGTTCCTTGGATGCGATTTTTGGCCTCTTCATTTTATATTGGGCTATTCGAGTGAGCAGAGCTGCTTGGACGAGGTATTATATAGATCCTAACCTTGAAATGTTCAATGCAAATACCACTAAACTAGCTAGAGAATCCAATCAAATGCATCACTTCCCTTGCTTTTTCTTATCCTAGTTCTACCCTGCTGAGTTAATAGGTACTACCACGCCAGTCATCTCTCCATGGATACTTGATGCTTGTACCAATTTGACCCTCCATCCCTCCACGCCCCAGAAACTTCTACACCAAATTACTGTGATGAGCTGATTAATGTATATGAGGGATGAAATTAAGGATGAAATCGCCAACACCCGAGATTTCCATATCAAATCTCGACCCCTAAATATCCCAATATGAAATATTCATGACTTAAGAGTATGAACAACCCCCTATGAAGCCTTCCGAGAACCGAGAGAAGATCTATGTATATAGTCCCAACATCCTACCTCCTATACATCTCGGCAGTAAAGAGCGCCATCTCAAAACAAAAGAAAACGCAGTTTTTACAGGCGATCTCCAGAGTCCGGGTCACCATCCACAATTATTTCTTTCCTCTTCCCTCTTTCCTCTTTTCTCTCTCCCCTCCTACATCTCCTCGATCTCGCAAAACTACTCAATACAATATTACTCATATACAACCCCTCCCATCAATGCCCAAGATCCCAAACACATACCAAGTAATAAATTCTTCGTCTCTCTCACTTCTCACTCCTCACACCCTCGACTCAGCCCACCGTTCCCATTCACACTCACTATCCTATCTCTCCAACTCTCGACTTCCAACTCCGATCCTCAAACTTCCCATTCCGATTCCTAACACCCACTAACAAATATCCACACCCACACCCATCTCCATCTCCATTTCCATCTCCATTTCCATCTCCATTTCCATCTCCATTTCCATCTCCATTTCCATCTCCATTTCCATTTCCATTTCCATTTCCATCTTCATCTTCATCTTCATCTCCATACTCATCTCCATTTCAAAACCCTCCTCTCCATTCCCCCCATTCTCCCTATCCCCCCATTCAAACCCCAATCAACCCACAATATGAAATAACCCTCCAACTCAACTCCATCTCCATTTCCACCTCCCAACCCACACTCATTCTTACCCCAAAGACCCAAAGACCCAAAAAATCCTAAACCCCTCAAGTTCCAAGCCATCTACACCTACATCTACATCTACAAACATGATATATACAGCCAAACCCATCACAACCAATAAATATCCCTCCCTATAAGAAACCAACGATTTGGAGAGTATACATACATGAAATATTATACTAATACCTATATATATACAAACTCAAACTATCCATAATGGATGGATTCACAATAAACGATGCAGCCTAGATACCTAGACTATTGAAGCGAATATCGTTGTTTAAAGGGGGAAACGAAGATTCATACCTAGGTACACAAACAATGTAAACACAATCCACATCACAAGATAAAACGTATCAGAAATATCAAATATCAATCAATGAAGAAATATGTTCTATTGCCTACAGGTCTAAAGACATAATGCGGATATCTGTAAGCATAGCAATAGCAATAGCAATAGCAATAGCAATAGCAATAGCAATAGCATAGAAAGGCGCGAATGCATCTTTCTATGAATGAGGTCGCTAAGAACACAACAAAAAGAAGAGAAATCCAATCCCAAAACTCCTCATGTCAACTCATCCACGACGCCTGTGTCATCATCAAGATATGTTCAATTCCCTTAGCACACTCAAAACATCTATTCCCAGTCCTCCTCCTCGCTGTCGTCGTCATCGTCGCTCTCTTCCTTCTTTGCTCCTGCACCTACAGCCTTTTCCTTTGGACTGTTGGGAGCCCGACTAGGAGCTCCTGATGCCGCGCCTACAACATCATAACTGCCATCGCTATCTGCTTGAGATTTTTCATCGTTGGATTTTCTTGGTTCAGTCGGTTTGAGGGTAGGAGTTGGAGATGTAGCAGTGGACTTTTCCTTATCTTGTGTTGCGGGATGTAAAGTGGTAGAGGATTCGGCAGAAGCTGGTCTATCGGAAGTTGTCTTGACCTTCGCAGTTTTGTCATCTTCATCTTCAGAATCATCGTCATCGGAATCCTCTTCTGAGTCGTCTTCAGAATCGGATGTCCATTTTACTTCTTCTTCTTGTTCGGTTGCTGCAGCGCCTTCTCATATCGTTAATGCATTTTTCTTATACTTTCTGGGGTATCACAAGTAACCATACCTTTGAGTAAATCTCTCCTCTTAGCTTCGGCAGTTTCAATACTGTGACGAAGGAAATAGTATCGCTTGAAGAAATCCTCATATTTGACCTTGTCAGGTACCAATTTTTCCATTGAACTTCTCAACTCTTCATATTTTTCCAAGTCCTTAGCGATATCATCCGTCTTCTTGTCAACACTAAAAGTCTTAGCCCAAAGCTCGAATTCCTCGCTGACTGGATCGGTGGTGAAGCTATCAAGTGTAGAATGAATAACGTGAAGTTGCGCATCGAATCGTGTAGTATGGATAACTCTTTTTCCTTGAGAATCCTTACTCTCAAATAGGACGGCATTGGCTTGTCCATCTGCATTTGAAGTAGGTGGTGCAATGCTAACAGCATCTTTCAAGAAGTTTCGAATGTTCGTTCCAAACTTTAGGAGAGCTTCATCTGCTGCATCTTCCGCCTTTTGAATCTCTACTAATCTCTTCGCAGCCTCGGACTTTAATCTTGCTAAAACACCTTCCGATTCCTTTAATGCCTCGTCTGTTGTGAGATCTTTCGAAGTTGACTCTCCATCTTTGCTTGCGGATCCTCCTGCTGCCGCTTTCTCATCCTCTTGAGCTTGTGTAATCGTAAGTCCTCGTGTGCGACTAATGATCGAAGATCTTAGGTCGGTGAATCCCTTGGTAGCTTCCTCGCTAACAGTATTGAACTCCTGTTGAGCCTCTTTATAGACATTCTCGCCCTGTAGATCAAATAGATATACTCAGCCAAAATACTCATGTGTTTGCCAACCATAGTCTCTTACCTGTTTGACGACACTTCCAAAGAATCCACCTAATTTCGCACCCCAAGGACTTGAAGAGATAGCTTTATATGCTTCTTGGAAATCGGCATTGAGAGTTGGGGCAGGCTCTGTTGATTTCTCCTTGTTCTGATCGGGTTGGAGAGCTTCTTCTTGGATATGATCATATGCGAGATCCATCTTGACAGGAAAACCGGCGGTATGATTCTGTATAAATCTAAAAGTTCATAGGGAGTTTATCAAATTGTTTACGCATGGAATAATACTCCATAGAGTGGAGCAATAGTACGTTGTGATTGATCTGCAAGCAGAGCGCAACCTCGCATACCATTCGACCATAATATCCCGCTCGCTTTCAAGCCTCACCTGACCTGTGGCTGAAATGGCACACTAGCCACAAAGTCATGTGCAATTTGTCTAATCCATCGGGTAATCTTTCGGTTACGCAGATGTGTAGATTCTAGAGATTGTTTCACAGGCTGAGACAATTTGTGAATGATAGGTCAAAGGGTCGATTAAGGATCCCCTCCAATCCGGCGAATGATTGTCAAAACCGAATTTCGGGGTCCTTTTGAGGCCATGTACGATACATACCTAGGCTCCTAGGTACACACATTTTCCTTGGCCTCGGTAGTAGCATCCGGCAAACTTGGCTCTTGCATTGATTTCTTGTATTATGGTCTTTGGGTGGAGTTTTGAGATGAATAGCGGTAGCTTTTCAGATGGACATATGCTAAAGACAAGATTACACCCAAGTAGCCCGGTGGAATGCCCACAACATGGGAGCCCCCGAAAAAGGTACAAGTTAGGTGTTAGATAAGAATACCTAGGTAGTGCATATGCAAAGCTGGGATAGAAACTTCAACGTCTCATCCATTGATTTGTTCAAGGGTTAAGAATTCAATATCGAAGGAAGCATTAAAGAGTTTAATTCCACCACTTGCGTTGTTTATGCTGTTGACTCATACCTAGGTACAGTAGACCGACCAGTGGACACAGTAGACACAGTAGAGACCTTACTCTGTGCAGAAAAGATGAACTGAACATCTACCTAGTACGGTAAAACTATGAGCCATGTTTCCATAGAAAATACTCTCCTCGTCCAGTAATGGTAACACTCAAGACCAACACAATCGCAGTAAATTGCTGCACGATAAACGATCGAGCATGAACGAACGTGTTGTGTTAATACCTACCTGAGCCTGGGTCGTCCCTATATACATATACGCCACGCCAAGTCTTGTGCAAAAAGACAAGAAACCTTACTTTGATTCGTAGAAGAGCCTCGCTCGTATCGCAAAAAGAAGAGAATCTTTCTCCTTTGTGGACACTGTACCTACTTGTCCCTACCTACCTAGTCCATGAGTTACTCAATATGTACTGGTGTATATATATGTAAAGACTTTTATTTCCCTTCTCGAACGACTTGAGCATCCCATCAAAGGGGACTAGATCGCATACGGATTTAGCGGACTTTTCGAATTTTGTTGCTGAGAAATCAAAAAACTCAAAAATTCACTGCCCCTCTAGAATCCCTGGAACCTTGAAGAATCATTCGAGGAAGGGGGAATGGGAGTAATGAATCTGTCCATCTGTCCATCTGCCCATCTGCCCATCTGCCCAAAAATCGTGAAATCAGCTGGGGAGAAAGTTTATTACTCAGTCCGAGTAAAATCGTATTCCCCAATCCCATTCCTTCTTTCAATCCGAGGACGATATTGCGACTTTACTTACATCATACACATACATATTGGAGAGAGTACGAAGTACAGAGTAACATCAATCAATCAATTTGACCTGGACATCCATCCATCCATCCATCCATTCACCCCACCCATATATCAATTGAGGCCACGAATTCGAGGCTTCCAGAATCAAAAGGGTAGTCAACCATCAATAACCCCATCACCTCCAACAATTCCATACACCTCACACCTCACACCTTACACCATACACCATACACCGCACACATCCTCCACTTTTCGCCTCCCATCTCTCTTTTCTCTCCAAGATACTTCCCCAAGATACTCCCCCAAGACATCTGGCCCCTCTCTTTTATCCGCCGAAGTGGGATTGATTGTCCTGCATAAGCTTACGGTTGAGAAGAGTCAATCGAACTTTTATTCCGACCACCTCGAACCCAAATCCCACTCAACTACAACACACAATCCGTCCGTTCCTGATATCGAACTCAAACTTCGCTTTCGATTGGCGCCATTTGATTCATACTATTTTAGTTGATATCTAGGGAATGTGAGATAGTTCTTCTTGAAAGAATCTCCCATTTCATTATACAAAGGAATTCTATCGCTCTCTTCTTATCTACGTCAGAATCACAAATCAATACATAACAAGGCTCCAATGGCTACCACCAGTACACACCATTCAAATCCAATAAATCCGGATTTCACCTTATCTCCACGACAAGAGGAATTACTTTTCGCTGCTCTCAATTCAAACAAATCTTCAAACAATATGGATACCTCAATTTCTGCTCAGAACCATGGCCTTCCAAACATATCTACACCCGCATTCAACGAATCTCCGACCCAAGCTCCGGGTTCGGGTACATTAAGCGGATTCGAAGAGAGTCCCTTTATCGACTACGACTACGAATTTGAAGGTGATGATAGTTTTAACTTCGACTTTACCAATGATTCACAAGGACAAATGATTGGAAACTTACCTGGAACTTCGTCGGATGGTGATGCTGATAATCATGAAAAGAGAAGTCATCCAGACGACGACGACGATGAAGAAGGCGGTGGTAAACGAAGAGAAGGCGATGATAAATCGTCGAAGAAGCCCGGTAGAAAACCTCTTACATCAGAACCCACTTCAGTGAGTACTTCTTGGTGTTTTCGTTGTTTTGAATGGCTTCTAACTTCTCAATTAGAAACGCAAAGCTCAAAATCGTGCCGCCCAACGTGCGTTCCGTGAGCGAAAAGAAAAGCATCTAAAGGATCTTGAGACGAAGGTTGAGGATTTAGAAAAAGCTTCCGAATCTGCCAATCATGAGAATAGTATTCTAAGAGCGCAAATCGAACGAATGTCGATGGAATTGAGGGAATACAAGAAGAGATTGTCTCTCACTGGTGGTATCAACCGAAGCTCAAATGGCAACGTTCCAGCTTATCTCGCAGGCAAAGGGCTTCCATCTGCATCTGCTAATCCAAATGACGTCAATTTTCAATTCGAGTTCCCAAGATTTGGTCGCCTTCCCGGACCCCCTATCACTAATGGAAGCTCATCAGTCGGACCATCTAACTCCCCAATTTCTTCTCAGAATGCTCCTAGTCCAACTGACAAGAGTCAAACCAGCTCCCGCAATCAATCCAATGCGAGCACCTTTGGTGTTGGTTTGACTCAAACTCCAGTTCAGACTGGCGGTGATGACATGTCTTCATTCTCTGGTTTATTCTCCCCCGAAATTTTGGATAACGCATCTAAAAGCTCACCATTCGACGGCTTCGGACATCTAACCAATGGTTCAATGTCAAGTAACGGCTCGCCCAACATTTCCACCAATGGTCAAAGTACGTCATACAGCTCACCGTCGGCTTCTTCGCACTCCAACAACGGAGCAAGTTCATCTTGTGGAACCTCTCCAGAACCTATCAACATGCAGTCACCATACAACAAAGCTATTGACAGTACGTTAACAACAATTGGAGAAGAGAATACATGTAGCAACAGCAACTCAGCACCAGGTGAGCTGTCCTTCTGCGAAAAGCTCAACATGGCTTGCGGCAATCCCAACAATCCCATTCCACGTACAATGTCTGAACCCGGTATCAATTCAGGAAATGTAGAAACTGCCCTTTTCGATGTCAACGGTATTGATTGGTTCGCTCAACAAAACAACAACCAATTTGATCCTCAGCTCTTTGGTGACTACCGCGAACCTCAAAATAGTGTTCTTTCGAACGATCCTTTTGCTCTTGATGATGGTTTCTTCGCAGATGCATTTGAGATGCCAGATTTCAATACTCCATTCAATGTTCCAAGTCCCGCAACTACAAAGAAGGATCTTGTACAACAAATTGATGAAAAGCAGAACGAAGATAATGAGGTAGTCCCAGGCGAAGATAGATCGACGATGCTTACGTGCAACACCATTTGGTAAGACTGCTGCATTGCGATGATAGTTGATAAATTTGCTAATTGATGTTTTAGGGATCGTCTCCAAAATTGTCCCAAGGTCAAGGAAGGCGAATTTGACCTTGATGGCCTTTGCAAGGATCTTCAAAAGAAAGCTAAATGCTCGGAGACAGGCGCCGTCGTCAACGAATCCGATTTCCAGAAAATCATGAAGAATTATGCCCCTCAAGGCTGCGAATCTATGACCTCTCCAATGGCCAAGAAGGCGTGAATGATCGATCGGATATACATTTTGGGATGATACCTATATTGGAACGGAATGGCGTTGCAAACACATTAAAATGACCACAAGGTCGGATCATGGTTAAGGATAACATTTTGCTAGGACAAAGCAATGTTTTTGGCGCCCATATGGTCATGATACATCTCATGGACCTGGATTGGTTTTTGTTTCTCCTTTTTTCTTTTGGGGGGCTTGGTATGGGAATTTGGTTACCTGGTTTTGTACCCTTTTCGGATTTATTTGATTGGTCATTGGCTTGTTGATTGGAGTGGTTTGCAGTGTTTGATGATAAAGGGGTTTGGGACGGATAAGTTTACAGTAGATTGTTGACTTATTCTTTTCAACCTAGTTCGCTGTTGAAGGGAATGACCGATCTCTATCCTAGTGCCGTGAGATAAAGATGATTTGCATGGTGGGAAAGGGAAAGGGAAAGGGAAAGGGAAAGGAAATGGATATGGGAATGATGATATGAATGAATGGTCTGGTATGGTCGACATGGTATGGTTGATATGGTACAAGAATCGATAAGCATTTAAATAGCAAATAGCAACTTAGCATGTCCCCTCTATCTTGTATGTTTGTGAGTTACGTGTCGATAGTGTCGGCATTGCAATATGTATTGAACGAAGCTCGACGTTCAAAATGAAAGTGCATTCATTGTCTTCTGTGGGCTTCTCTTTTCTTTTATTACCACTATAAATATCTCTTTCCAGCATAGGTACAACTTTTTCCCGTGCTCCCTCGCTTCGCTTCGCTTGTTTCTCAGGGTAATAGATAATGAATGGACAGTGTCGTACGGTTGGTTACCTTGGGTCAATGGAAGATTCGAAATTAAATTGTGTCAATTGAAATGGTAGATTCTAGGGGGCTGTTGGCTGGATTGATAAGTCGTGGGTGGGGAATTGGATTTGGATTGAAATTTTGGGTGGGATGGATGGGATGAGATGGAATGGGTTAGGGTTGATTTTGGAGAGGGGAGATGGGAGGGGGTAATGAAGATGGGAGGGATACTTTTGTTTTGTGAATGGGTTTTTGGGTTTTTGGGTGGTTGGTATTTTGTTGTGTTGGGTTGTGTTGTATTGTGTTATGTTGTAAATGTTATGGGGATAGGATATTTTCGATTTGTTTTGTAAAAGTCTTTTTAGTTGTTTGTTATTGTTTTATGTTATTTTATGTTACATTGTGGATAAGATGGACATTAGATATTGGTTGTTTGGTTGATTGGATGATTGGATAGGAGTAGGTAGTTAGATTTTATAAGGATAGAATACTTTTATTTTATTTCGTAAAAGTCTTTTCATTAGTTGTTTGTTGTTCTTTCATGTTGCCTTATGTTATGTTATGTTATATTGTGGATAGGATGGATATTGGATATTGGATGATTGGTTAGGATAGGATAGGAGTAGGTGGTTGATTGGCTAGGATAAAATAGGAGTAGTAGGTAGTTGAGTTTTGGGATGGTGGATTTTCTGGGGATGCGTAGGGTGCGTGGATGGGTGTGGGTGTGGAAGTGGAAGTGGAAGTGGAAGTGAAAAGTGGCGATGAGATTCTGGGGGAGTGGGTATGGGATGGAGTTTCAATAGAGGTAAGTTTGTTTAGTGGTTGGATAGTCTTCTGGGAATCTGGATGATGAAAAACTGAGATGTCACGGGTGTCCAATAGTGAGGGGATTGATTAGGTTTGAGTGTTGATTAGAGGTAGGCTTGTTGAAGGATTGAATAGTCTTCTGGTAAGTTGGATTCTGAAAAGCTAAGATGTGTCCAATAGTGAGGGGATTGATTAGGTTTGGGTGTTGATTAGACGTGGGCTTATCAAGTGACTCGCTGGCCTTTAGATGTTCTAAAAAGTTCAGAAGTTTCCTCATAGTAGGGGGGATTATTGGATTTGTAGTTGTTTGTGGGGGAGGAGAAAGGGCGCGAGGTGAGGGGTAAGGGAGATCTGGATTTTGAAGAGGTCTAGAATGCCGGATGATCGGCGAGGGCTTTCTTGTGTGAATACGGAAGGAGCGGTGATCGAAGCTACTAGGTTGGATACAGAGTGTTCAGTAGTCCGAATTGCAGTTTAACAACGAAGATTATCAAATTCCCAAATCAAAAAAATCTTCAAGTCATCTGAGATATCAAATTTGATCGTGATATTGAACTATTTTCAAATTTTCAACTACTTTTAGTATTCAATCTCTGATCTTTGAACTGCAGACTGGACTATTGGTTTCCCTAATCTGATTCCGACTTTTGATTTTAACTTTTAATGTGAGTATACGATCATCGCTTGCGAAGACCGGAAAGCGGAACACGAGAATATCAGATGAGATGGTTATTGTGACAAATAACACATGGATACCTATGTGATTTACTCAATACGCTTACTTCTTTTCAAGACTAGCTTAAAGTAAGCGATTTTTATTACAAAGGAGATGGAAAGATCTATTGAGGATCTCGCTTTCCTTTTTAAGCTTTCGTGTTCTCGTTTATTTGACTTCTAGCAATACGCTTAGCTTTTGATCGTAGCACGTACCTTCCTGCAATAAATTCGTCTCTTATCCAGGCTAGGGAGAACTTTTCCTAGGTAAATTTCGAGACATGTTGTTGCTACAATGATGCCATCTTAGCCGGTAATGAGGGAAGGGGGCGGAGTAAACCTTTGTCTATACTGCCATTAACGAAGACCTAGAATCTTTGAAAGTATTTTGAACTATGTGGAGTATAGACGTGTGGAAAATTCTAAGTGATTCTGAGTCATTTAGGTCTGAGCGTCTTTTTGAAAATCTGGGGTAATAAGCATCTTCAATAGCTTCCATAGTTAGGAGAAAAGAACTAAGTTTCACATCCAACACAGCCCGATTCCGATAGACGACGACTTCCGGTCCGGATCAAGATATCTGGTATATGGAATGGGACTATTTTGCCGACATTTTATCACTACTTGATCAGTTGATGAGAAAATTCTTCGGTTAGACTCCTGAATCCATGAGTGAAAATAATTTTCATATCAATACTTTCCAATCGGCATCTGAATCGTGTCATTAAAGTCCTAATAAGCTGAGACTGAAACAGTAAAAATCTTCCAAATTGTACCAAGTGCATATGAAAACTCTGTTCTATTGATCTTGGATTTGGAATCAATTTCCTTAGTACATGGATATCTGTTCCAATCGGGTGGGGGAGATTGTGACATTGAGTCAATTTTACCCCGGATTTGCATGCAGAATAGACTAAGATCTTATACTATTGATTATATGTACTCGTGATCCTAAAAATACCAATGATCTACAAAATATTACTCCAGATCCACGAAATCGAAACAGCTAGAATCGTAAAAGCCAGATCATCTCTGAAAAAGCTCGAAGGTGTTTGATGATTTTCTTATGAACTACTAAGCGAGGCTAAGGCCTCGAAAGGGTATATAAGGGTCTCTTCTCTCCTCTGGATTTTTCTTTTCTTTTCCTTCCGTAGAATCTCGACATCTTCAGACTTTTGTTTTTCTTACTTATCTCTTTTTCACACATCTCATATCGCACATCTCACATCACACATTTCATATCATACATTTCACTTCATACATCTCACTTCATACATTTCACTTCACACATCTCACTTCAATATAACATCGACAAGTCCGACCTCTTCGGAGTGTGACTATAAGCATATGGGGCCAATATTACCCGGCCTTGTCAACCGGGATACCAGGAGAATCGACTCGAGACAAGACCGATCTCTTCGGAGTGTGGTCTCTAAACTTCCTCGACAATGGGCGCCAATATTACCTAGATTACGCAGCTAGGATACCAGGCATCGACGCCAGTGCCTCATCCGCACTATAAATACAGACACAATGGGGCCAATATTACCCGGCCTTGTCGACCGGGATACCAGGCGAATCGACTCAGACACAAACGATCTCTTCGGAGTACGATGGGAGCCAATATTACCTAGATTACGCAGCTAGGATACCAGGCAGTCGACGCCAGTGCCTCATCCGCACTATAAATACAGACACGAATGGGGAGCCCAATATTACCTAGAGTTCGCAGCTAGGATACCCGGCCTCGACGACAGTGCCTCATCCGCACTATAAATACAGACACGAATGGGGAGCCCAATATTACCTAGAGTTCGAAGCTAGGATACCCGGCATCATCGACGACGACAGTGCCCATCCGCACTATAAATACAGACACGGGGGCCAATATTACCTAGAGTTCGCAGCTAGGATACCCGGCATCGCCAGTGCCTCATCCGCACTATAAATACAGACACGGGGGCCAATATTACCTAGATTACGCAGCTAGGATACCCGGCATCATCAACGACAGTGCCTCATCCGCACTATAAATACAGACACAATGGGGGCCAATATTACCTAGATTACGCAGCTAGGATACCCGGCATCGCCAGTGCCCATCCCGCACTATAAAAATAGGAATATGGGAGCCAATATTACCTAGAGTTCGCAGCTAGGATACCAGGCATCGACGACACTCTACCTGCCCGGGGGTAGACCAAACGACGACAAGGTGATCAAATTCCTCTGATGAATCAATGCTAACTTTTGTGTGTAGGGAGGCTAGCCTTGATCACACGTCCACGTCGTGCTAGCTGGGTACCCTCTCACGAGGAGCTAAGTGATCACTCTTTATTTTTTCAATCAACACGTTCTCTCTTTTTGAGAGAATATCGCTCAAAGTCACCTTAGGGTGTACTCTGAGTAATTTGGGAGAAGCGAAAGAAAGCCCGAACCTGGGGAACCAACCAGATCGCTCGGAGAATGTACTTGCAAGTGTAAGTTTAAACTCTGGGGAACCCGGAGAAGCGAAAGAAAGCCGGCTCTAATCTTGGGGGTTGTTTGTTGGGAAATATTTTGTGAGTACCATTACCTTGAATATATTTCTTTAACAGCTGACTAACTTGTTCTTGTGTCCTGTACGCCATTTAGTTCGAAATTTCGTACGCTATATTTCCACCATCAAAAGAAGGGAAGACTCAGGT